GGCAGGGCTCAGGCTGCATTGTAGTAAGTGGTCTGTGGTTTGCTCTTCTCTGCACTCGCAAGTTGTGGACTCCACTTTGTGGCCCCATTTATCAAGGTTGGCTCTGCATCTCGTGGTGCCAGAGCATAGTCTCAGTGACTTCCAGGTCAGGAGGGAGTTTCTTATCTGGTATCAGACACTGATTAAGGTTCCGGGTTTGAGCCTGCCACTTTTGGACTCTCGCTTGCTGAGGTGTTCCTGCAAGTATCTCTGTAGATCTTAGGAAGTTGTTTCTTGATTTAAAGCATTGTCTTGCTGGCTGATATCCGAACAGGAGATGGGCCGAAGATGTCAATGTGCTGGCTGCTACTTTCCAGCGGATATCAGGTGGAGCAATACCAGCTAAATTGTATAATTTCTCCAGCAGAGTAGGGCATAGACATCCTGTGATCATGTGGCATGTTTCATTAAGAGCCACATCCACTGTTTTAGCGTGATGAGATGTGTTCCACACTGGGCATGCGTATTCAGCAGCAGAGTAGCAAAGCTCAAGGGCAGGTGTCTTCACTGTGTCTGGTTGTGATCCCCAGGTTGTGCCAGTCAGCTTTCGTATGATATTATTTCTACCACGTATGTTTTGCTTGATAGTCATGCAGTACCTCTTGTAGGTCCAGAGTGACTCCCAGGTGTTTTGGTGTGCTTCAATGCTCCAGTGGAATTCCTTCCCAGGTAATCTTTAGAGCTCAGGATGCTTGCCTGTTTTTAATATGGAAAATAATATGTCTGATAATAATAATAATAATAATAATAATAATAATAATAGCACTTTATTTATATACTACCAAGGGGACTCAGAGTGGGTTCCAACAAATAAAAAAGGCAAACACTCAATGGATAAAGACTTATCGGTTTTCCCCTGTAATAGGTAGTAAGAGCACCTAAAGCTTCAGAGAGTTTCTGTTCAACCATCTCAAAGCTCCCTGCTTGAGCAGTGATGGCACCATCGTCAGCATAGGTGAAACTCTCTGCCCCTTCTGTTAGTGATGATGATGATGATTATTATTACTATTATCTGAACTTTAGTCCAAAGGAGCACCCAAGAGGTCACACTATAACACTAGGTAACTCAATTATTACTATTACTACTACCTGAATTTTAGTCCAAAGGAGCACCTAAGAGGTCATACTATAACACTAGGTAACTCAATTACTACTACTACT